GCACCTGGGCGACGGCGGGGGGACGTGCCGATCAATGATGAGTTACACTAGTGTGCGAAGATAAACGCATCACCCGAAAACTCATGTTCCCCCTATCATCCTCCCGCTCCGTCTCCTCTCAGTTTCCCCCCGCTCGCCCATCCTTCCTCCTCCCACTCCCTGGCACCCACTCCTCCTACTCATCCTCCGCGGCCCCCCTTCTTCCTCCTTCTCCGCTCGCTCATCGACATCCTCGTCCAATCTCCCACCCCGCTATCATCGCGCCACCCCCTTACTCCTGCTCCTCCCTTTCCCCCTCCACTCCCAGTCCCTTCCCCCCTCCCCATCATCCCCAAATTGAGGTTACCCAGTGCGCCAGGCCCGCCACTCGCATGCGGCGTCGCTGGCGTGGCTGCCCCCGCTGGGGTGGCAGGCGCGCCTGTCCCATGCCACGCAGCCGGCTGGGCGTCGTGACCCCACTGCTGCTGCGCCTGCGACTCCATCGCTGGTGGGGGCTGCGAAGCTGGCACCTGCGACTCAATCGCCTCTGGAGTCGGAGGGGGCTGCGAAGCTGGCACCTGCGACTCAATCGCCTCTGGGGGCTGCGACGCTGGCACCTGCGACTCAATCGCCTCTGGAGGGGGCTGCGAAGCTGGCACCTGCGACTCGCGCCACTGGGGCGGGGTAGCTGGCACTGTGACGGCTGTGTCCGTCGGGCTGGGGCTCGTCGGCGGGGGCCAGTCGGGCGACTCGATAACTTGCACTGGCGCATCAGAAGCCATCCCGCCCCTCGAGAGTGAGCAGCCGATCGGGGTCTTCCAAGGCTCCCTTGGAATGAATGTGCGGTCGGGCCACATCCTCGAAGCCAGAACAGCTGTGGCGCAGCAAGCGAGCGATATATCATCATCCCTCCCCTCCTCCCACTGCTCGTCCTTTGCATTTCGCTGCTGCCCCTCCTTCCCTCCATCCCTGTCCCCATCAGTCCGTGCGTTCCCATCCGCCCTTCTAGCCCCTGCTTTTCGCTAATGTTCCCCCCGCTCCTTCCTCTTCCGCCCGTCCCCTCAGCGCCCCTGCGCACCCGCCCCCTTGCCCGCCCATACCACCCCGCCCATGGCTTATTTCGTACCCCGCCGCGCCCCCTCCCCCGGGCAAGGCGGCAACCACCCCGACATCGACGACTGCGACTACAACGACTACGACCGTGCGTGGCGCGTGTTCGTGTTGCGTGGCGCGCGGTTGCCTTGCGTGGCGCGCGGTCGTGGCGCGCGGTGCGTTCAGTATGGTGCGCGCGCGATGGCGCGCGGGGTGTTGCGCGGAGGTGCGTGGTCGTGGTGCGTGGCGCAGGCGCGTCGTGGCGGTGGTGCGTGGCCGTGGTGCGTGGCCGATTTGCGCGGTGGTGCGTGGTGGTGGCGCTTGGCCGTGGTGCGTTGTGCGGTAACCTGAATCGTGTTATGTGGTAGTGGTGCGTCGTAGTGGAGGGTCAGGTGTCGGTGCTCGCGGGGAGGGATGGCGAGGGAGGAGAGGGAGAGAAGAGAGGGGGAGGGCGGAGGAATATTGAGGCGGGAAGTTTTAGATAATCACCCACGCGTATGTTTTTTATATGAATTACGGGTATGCTTTCGATAGAGAGAGAGAGAGAGAGAAGCAGAGAGAGAGAGAGGGAGAGAGAGAAGGGGAACATCACATGGATGGCCGATCCGAAATGCTCGTGCTAATCTGGGGAGGGGGGGGAGCGGGGAGGGAAGGATGGAGGGAGGTCTGGCGCTGTTTTTTATGGTGATTGTCAGGAGCGCTCGTATTCAGTGTATGTATTTCATAGTCGGGTGTAATATTCATGGATGGATCTACTTTATGAGGCCGGATCTAGAATGTATATACAGATCTAGTTTTAATATGGTCTTTGCATGGGTTCTAGATTCTAGAACCTGGCGACCCCAGGGATCCTTTCGGTCGAGCTGGTGTCCAGGAGGCTCCAGACCATCGAGTATTGCTACAGCGACAAGCTTCGGGGGCGATCCTCAGGGGCGGCTGGCGGCCGCCTCGCGGCCGACGAGCAGGCGGCCTTCGGCGCGACGGCCCGGGCCGAGACCAGGCTCATGGTGTCGCCCCGCAGCTCCTGGAGGGCGCGAAGCAGGAGATGGAGAGGGACGCCGCGCTCGCCAAGAGCCTGCTGAAAGCGCGAGAGGCCCGCGAGGCCTTGGGTAAGAAGAAGCAGGGGTGATGATCGACTGCCCCCGCCAGGCGTCCCTCAGGCCTGGTGGGGGGACTCGTGAGACTGGGGATGCTCGGCCGCGCTCAGCAGCGCCGCCGGGAATTTTTGATAGGAGCGCGTGCAGGGATCTCTTGCCCTTCCCCACCGCGCTGCTCCCCTCGCCAGAGCCGCCCGCGCCCGGGCTCTCGCGGGGCTGCCGGCGCAGGTCCGGCCGTCGACGGCGTCACCACCTCGACGTTCTTCGGTGCGTGGAGGGGTCTCAATCTGCTCCATGGCGACTGCGGGGGATCTTCTCAGCCTTCGGATCTGAGCCTGGGGCAGCAGCGCATGCTTGCGCACGTTGAGAACTCCGTCTCTGCCTTGGGGCCGCCCCCAGGCGATCTTTCGCAGGCGGCAGCCCTTCGGGCGCTGCGCCTCGGCCTCCCCTACGACGCAGGGGGGGGGCCCTGTCGCCTATGAAGCCGCCCGCGTGCCCCTCTCTGCTGCAGGGTCGGTTCCAACTCCGCTCGCCAGGCTCTGGGGATCCAGCGGGGGAAGTACAGTCGCTCACTTTGTCGAGTCGCAGGTTTTGCCAAATAATGTTGCTCGTGAGAATTTGATGGGCTCGGGGCCAGCCCGGCCCTGCGGCGATCCCCGCCTCCACTCCCCCTCCCTCTATGGCGATTTTGTTCGCAGGCTGCTCGAGGCAGGCCTTGTCGAGGTGTCACTCGGGCGCTGCGCTGAGGTAGTCGGTTGTCTCTTTGTGAAGAAGGGGAGTGGGGGGCAGCGGTTGGTCGTAGATTGCCGCCGGTCTAATCAGCATTTCAAGCCCGCTGCCCCTGTCAGTCTGGTCTCGGACGACGCGCTCTCCCAGGTGTGTAGTGGCGAAACCCAGGGTCAGCCCATATACATAGGCCAGATTGACATCGAAGACGCGTTCTATCATATGGAACTCCCCGAGGAGCTCCGCAAGTTTTTCGGTCTGCGAAAGGTCCGGGCCTCTTGGGTGGGAGTCGCCCACGTGTGCGGCATCCGAGTGTCGCCCGACGCCTGGATCGCCCCCAGGATGCGAGTGCTCCCCATGGGCTGGTCTTGGGCCTTCTGGCGGTGTCAGGCGATCCATGGGCGCGCGGCCGAGGAGGAGGGACCCCTGCTGCGGCCAGGCTCGCCGACGGAGTTCCCCCTCCCTCCCTCGCCTCCTCGCCCCGTGCGCAGTATGTTGGTAATTGCGTAGTGTTCTCGTTTGGCGAGCAAGTGGTCCGAGAGCGCCTGGCCGGAGTCTCTTCCGCACTCGAGTCCCGAGGCTTGCCCTTGCACGAAGAGGATGTGTCGTGTGGGCGGGCGGTGGTGCTGGGGTGGGAGATCGACTGTCTGCGGCGTGCGTTCCGCCCGACCCCCGTGCGCGTCTGGAGGGCCCGGCTCGCCATCGGGGGCCTCTTGGGGCGAGGCGCGTGCTCGGGAAAGGTGCCTAGAGCGCCTCCTGGGCCGCCCGTGTCTCATCAGCCTGTGTAGGCGCGAGGCAGTCAGCGTTTTTACTTAACAGCGAAGACTGATAGGTTTCTAGTAGGGTCAAAAGAGAGCATCATGACTCCTCAGGGGGGTCGGGGCGGGATCCGGGGCGGCTGCTGTCGAAGCCCAAATCGCTTGGGACATCCTCGCAAAATCGTTCTTGGCGCTGCTAGAACTCCATTCCCGGCGTACATTTTGGATACCCGGAGCCAGCTGTAGGCCACTTCGTGGTCTTCGAGTTCCCAGAACTCCATTCCCGGCGTGCATTTTGGATGCCCGGAGCCAACTGTAGGCCACTTCGTGGTCTTCGAGTTCCCAGAATTCCATTCCCGGGCCACATTTTGGATGCCTGGAGCCAACTGTAGGCCACTTCGTGGTCTTCGAGATTCCAGAACTCCATTCCCGGGCCACATTTTGAATGCCCGGAGCCAACTGTAGTCCACTTCGTGCTCTTCGTGTTCCCAGAACTCCATTCGTGGGCATGATTTTGAATGCCCCGGGCCAGCTGTAGGCCACTTTGTGTTTTTCTAGTTCCCAGATCTCCATTCCTGGGCCACATGTTCAATGCTGAAGCAAACTGATGCTGCAGCCGAGGCAGGCTGAGGCTGAGACAGGCTGAGGCTGGGGCCGAGGCTGAAGGCAGACTGAGGCTGAGGCTGAAGCAGACTGAGACTGAGGCTGAGGCAGGCTGAGGCTGAGGCTGAGGCAGGCTGATGCTGAGGCAGGCTGAGGCTGAGGCTGAGGCTGATGCAGGCTGAGGCTGAGGCAGCCTGAGGCTGAGGCCGAGGCTGAAGGCAGACTGAGGCTGCGGCTGAAGCAGGCTGAGGCTGAGGCTGAGGCAGGCTGAGGCTGAGGCAGGCTGAGGCTGAGGCTGAGGCAGGCTGAGGCTGAGGCTGTGACTGCGACTGCCGTTGCCGCTGCGACTGTCATCGCGAATGCGACTACGACTGCGAGAACAGCAGAATTCTACAACTGGATTTTCATCTGAATCTTAAGGGGAATGCTTCCATATATGTTCCTACACATCGCTGTTAGGTTGTTTTGTCGGGATAATTAAATGCTGCCGCAGGTTTTGCGAGGCGGCCCGGAGGGGCCCTGGCCGAGAGGCAAGGGCCCTCTGGGCCTCCGTGCGTAGGGGGCTGGACGTCTGGGACAGGATCTCGCCACTCGGGGTCAGCGCCGCCGCCGCCGCCAGCCTGGGCGTGGTCGTGGTGGATGCGTCGCCTTGGGGTCTTGGGGCCGTGCGAGGACGCCCTCCTCTCGAGCTCGTCAAGCAGGCCGGCCGTCGCTCCGAGAGGGTGGGGGCCCTCGAGGCCGCCAGGTGCCGCGAGGCGCCGCGAGGGCGGGCGTTCGCCGCGGCCGCCGCGCAGTTGTTCGTGGACGACAGGGGCCCCGACAAGCAGATCCTGGTGGAGCTCGTAAGGCCCCAGCACTCCCACTCGGACACCGATCGTCGCGACAGCAGCTTCGATCTTCGGCGCTCTGGGAAGTTCGAGGACGCCCCTCTGGAGCTCCTCAAGTCCCCCTGGAAGGTCTGCGGGGGGGTCGAGTGGAAGCGGCCCTGCGCGGCCATGCCCGTCCTCGAGGCCGAAGCCCTACTGTGCGGCGTCCGCCACCAGTTGCGTTCCGTCGACAACCTGGGCTCGAGGCCTCTTGTGATAGGTGATTCCATAACGGCTTCTCTGGCAGCCACGAAGGGGCGCTCTTCGGCTGATGGCGTGCTCTCCCTGACCTGGCGTCTTGGGGCCTGCTGCTGGCGACGGGCAGCCTCCTGCGCGCCAGGTGGGTCGCGTCAGAGCTGAAACCGGCCGAATGGCCGTCGCGGGGCCGCGGCGCCCCCGGCGACCCCTTGGCCGGCCTCCGCCGCGAGCTCTTGGACGCGGCAGCCGAGGGCAGGGATGCTGGCGCGTGGCAGGCCCGACAGGTCGAGGATTCCCGCCGGGCGCGCGCCGCTGCCGCGGGCTCCGGGGTCGAGCCCCCGCCCGGCCTTGGGCCCCCGGGCGGCTGGGGCGCCGCGGGCGGAGGCCGGGGCCCGGCTGGCCGCGGCCCGCCCGCCCGTGGGCGACGTGGGGCTGCTCCGACGGGCGTCGGTCTCGGCCGAGACGCAGGCCCAGTACTGTCTTTACCTGGCCGCCCTGGACCGCTCCTGCGACACTCAGGGCGGCCCCCGGCCGTGCACGGAGGAGGAGTGGGACATGCTGACATCGGGGCTGATGGAGATCATGTTCATGCAGGGCGGGTCCCTGAACTCGGGCGCGAAGCTCCTGGCGTCGGCCCAGTTGGCCGAGCCGCGGCAGGGGCGGCTGGGCGGAGGACGGATGCCCATCAGCCGCCAGTGCCTCCGGGTATGGCGCCGCGCGGCGCCAGCGGGGGGCCGGCTGCCTCTGCCGTGCGACGTGGTGGCCCTGCTGGCGTGCTGGATGATCTGCCGCGGGCAGAGAGCCCAGGCCCTGGCCGTCCTGATGATGATGGAGCTGTACCTGCGCCCGGGCGAGCCCTTCTTGCTCCGGGACCGCGACGTGGTGGCAGGATCCTTCGCGGGGGCTCGAGATCGAGTGGGTGCCCACGTCGGTCCTGCTGCGCCCTGTCGAGATGCGCACCCCGTCGAAGAACCAGGAGTTCGACCAGACCATCGTGCTCGACTTCGTCCGGCAGGAGGCGCTCGCGGAGGCCCTGGTGCAGTTGGGCCAGGAGAGGGGCGACTTCCCCTGCTCGACCTCTCGCCCAGCGCCCTGCGGCAGGCCCTCGAGGAGGCGGCGGCCGCGCGGCGGCTGAAGCCCCTCGGGCCGCTAGACGCCTACCGCTTCTGGCGCGCGGGGGCGAGCGTCGACTTCGCGACCGGGGCGCGGCGGCTGGAGGAGATCCAGCGCCGCGGGCGGTGGCGGTCGTCGCGCAGCCTTCGGCGCTACGAGCGCGGCGGACGCCTGGCCGAGCTCTTGCGCCGGCTGCCGTCCGACGTGCAGCGCGTGGCCGCGGCCGCCGCTCTGGAGCTCCCCGATGTCCTACGGGGGCGACGCCTGCCCTCGCTGGGCCGTTGAGGGCGCCGTCGGCGGCTGTGTTTGAGCTCTTCGCCGGCTCTGGGCACTTCGCGGGGGCCGTGGCCCGGGGGGGCGCCCCCGCGCTCCGATGGGAGAGCCTCGACGGCCCAGCCTGCGACCTGCGGGGCCCGAAGAACGCCCGCCTCCTCTGGGGCTGGATTCGCGCGGGCCTGGTCTGCGGGCTGCGCGCGGGTTTCCCCTGCGAGACCTTCTCCCGCGCGCGGGGTCAGCCCAGTGACCCGCCGCGCCTCCGCTCCGGCGGGGGAGGCAGAGAAGGTGAAGTGGGGCAACGGGTTTGTGGAGCTCGCGATCTCGCTGTGCAGCGCATGCTGCCCGTGCTTAGTGCCCTGGTCTATCGAGAACCCCGCTCTCACCTACGCCCGGCAGCTGCCGCCCATGCTGAGCCTGATGAAGCGTCGCCATGTCACGTCTCAGGTGTTCGAGTACTGCGGTTTCGGAACCCCGTGGAGGAGGAACGCCAACATTGTTGCCTACCTAATTGACCTGGCACCCCTTGCCCAGTGCAGAAGCGCGGGGCGAGTCTGCTTCGTCACCGGATGCAAGCACGTATGTCTGTCTGGAAAAAAATGGGCGCTGGCAGTTCAAGACAAAGTTGGCCGAGGCTTACCCTCGGAATCTGTGTAGTATCCTTGCTCGTGCCTATGAGAATGAGAAAGCCCGTGCCCGCGCCATCCAGTTCGAGACACTCATCAATAGAGCGTCTAGTTCCGAGTCCGCCTTGCGCAAATACTACATGACGTGATGATTTCCCATCGGCGTTGCCAGATCAGCTTTGCTGCTTGCCGCATGTTGCGCGTGTCTCGAGAATTCTGTCGATAGTCGGCCGTTGTGAGGGCCCGACCTCCAGCGGCTGCCACCTGCGGTCGCATCGTCTCGTATCCTGCCTCCTGGCCTGCAGTGAAAAAAGGGAGCATGTGATGTTCTTCGAACAGGGTTGCTCCCAGTGTAACGTCGGGCCGCCGAAACTGCATGGTCTCAGAAGTGTTTGCACCGCTGACATGATCGCTCAAGCTTCCCGCCCTCTCCCCCCCTCGCTTTCACTCTGTCATCGCACGTGTCTCGAGATTTTTGTCGAGAGTCAGCCGCTGTGAGGGCCCGACCTCCAGCGGCTGCCTCCCGCGGTCGCATCGTCTCGAATCCTGCCTCTTGGCCTGCAGTGAAAAAAAGAACATCCTTCTCCTCATTCCCTCCTTCTTCTCCTCGTCCCACTCGCGAGTCTTGCTCCTCCTCCGCCCCCCCCTCTCGAGCCCTGGGACCCCTCCTCGTTGCCCTCCTTGATTCCTGTCCTCCCTCCTCCTCCCTCCTCCCCGCCGACGTCCCTCGTCCTTCCTCCTCCCTCGTGCCTCCTGCCTGACCCTTGCTCCTTCCTCCTTGCTCCCTCAACCCTTCCTCCTGCCACCTCCCTCGTACAACTTCAAGATGCACGATCCAGCGGTTGCCGTCCCGCTGGTGCCATCCAATTCTTCACGCTTCGCGTATCCCCACCAGCCCATCTCAAAACAGCAACTCTTGCGAAGCATGCCGACAGTCGTGTTTTTCAGGCGTGTTTCCGCCTGCCCCCGCATATCTCCGGGCCTCTCGTCCTGGTGTGAGTCGTTCGGGCCCTTCTTCCTGGTGTGAGTCGTTCGGGCTCTTCGTCGTGGTTTGAGTCGTTCGGGCTCTTCGTCCTGGCGTGAGTTGTTCGGGCTTCTCGTGGTGTGAGTTGTTCGGGCCCTTCGTCCTGGTGTGAGTCGTTCGGGCTCCTCCTCCTGGTGTGAGTCGTTCGGGCTCGTCGTGGTGTGAGTCGTTCGGGGCCCTCGTCCTGGTGTGAGTCGTTCGGGCTCCTCGTGGTGTGAGTCGTTCGGGCGCCTCGTCCTGGTGTGAGTCGTTCGGGCCCCACCTCCTGGTGTGAGTCGTTCGGGCTCTTCGTGGTGTGAGTCGTTCGGGCCCCTCGTCCGGGTGTCAGTCGTTCGGGCTCGTCGTGGTGTGAGGCGTTCGGGCACCTCGTCCTGGTGCGAGTCGTTCGGTCCCCTCGTAGTAGTAGTAGTAGTAGTAGTAGTAGTAGTAGTAGTAGTAGTAGTAGCAGATGAAGTAGTATTAGTAGTAATAATACTGGTAGCAGTAGTAGTAGTAGTAGTAGTAGTAGTAGTAGTAGTAGTAGTAATAGTAGTAGGAGTAGTAGTAGTAGTAGTAGTAGTAGTAGTAGTAGTAGTAGTAGTAGTAGTAGTAGTAGTAGTAGTAGTAGTAGTAGTAGTATATTAGTAGTAGTAGCATATAAGTAGTAGCAGCAGCAATAGTAGTAGTAGTAGTAGTAGTAGTAGTAGTAGTGGTGGTGAGTAGTAGTATAAAGTAGTAGTATTAGTAGTCAGTAGTAGTCACTAGTAGTAGTAGTAGTAGTATAGTAGTAGGAGTAGTAAAGCAAGCAGTAGTAAGTCTAGTAGTAGTAGTAGTAGTAGTAGTAGTAGTAGTAGTATTTGTAGTAGTAGTAGAAGTATTAGGAGTAGCAGTAGCAGTAGTAGTCGTAGTAGTAGTAGTAGTAGTAGTAGTAGTAGTCGTAGTAGTAGTAGTAGTAAGTATTGTAGGTTTAGTAGTTTCGAATCTGTTAGTAGTTAGTTACGTAGTAGTCGTAGTAGTAGTAGTAGTTGTTGTTGTATTAGTAGTAGTAGTAGTAGTAGTAGTAGTAGTAGTAGTAGTAGTCGTAGTCGTAGTCGTAGTCGTAGTCGTAGTCGTAGTCGTAGTCGTAGTCGTAGTCAGTAGTAGTAGTAGTAGTAGTAGTAGTAGTAGTAGTAGTAGTAGTCGTAGTAGTAGTAGTAGTCGTAGTCGTAGTCGTAGTCGTAGTCGTAGTCGTACTCTTAGTAGTAGTCAGTAGTAGTCAGTAGTAGTAGTAGTAGTAGTAGTAGTAGTAGTAGTAGTAGTAGTAGTAGTAGTAGTAGTAGTAGTAGTAGTAGTAGTAGCAGTAGCAGTAGTAGTAGTACTGGTGGTAGTAGTGGCCGCACCACCATGCGTAGAAGTAGTAATAGTAGAGGTAGAAGTAGTAGTAGTGTGAGTCGTTCGGGGCCCGCGTCGTGGTGTGAGTCCTTCGGGCTCCTCGTGGTGTGGGTCGTTCGGGCGCCTCGTCCTGGTGTGAGTCGTTCGGGCCCCTCCGTTGTGTTGTGAAGTCGTTGGGGCTCCTTCGTGGTGTGACAGTCGTTCGGCGGGCGTCCTGGTGTGGTCTTTCGGCGCCTTGTGGGCCTCTTGGGCCTCTTGAGCCTCGTTGGGCCTCCTTGGGGGCCTTCGTGGGGCACTTGGGGGCCTCTTGGGGCCTCTTGGGCCTCGTGGGGACCCTCTTGGGGGCCTCTTGGGGCCTCTTGGGGGCCTCTTGGGGCTGCTTGGGGGCCTCTGGGGAACCTCTTGGAGGCCTCTTGGGAGCTTCCTGGTGGCCTCTTGGGGCCATCTTGGTGCTTCTTGCGACCTCCTCAGAAGCGCAAATGGGAGCTGCCCCCTGAAAAGGACAAAATGAGCCCAAAACCTTAGTAAAATCAATGATTTTGCTATGAAGGACGAGGAGCGCTGCCCCCTCAGAAGGCCAACATGGGGCCAAAACCTTGTAAAATCAATGTTTTTGGCTTCACAGAAGAGGAGGGGGACTTATCTCAGCCCCTCTGTCGGGGCCAGAATCCTCGTGAGGGTCGTCGTTTTTTAGCCCTCCCAGGAGTCGAAATTGACCCCCCTGACGACCCGCCGGACCCCCTCTCCAGGCCCAGGGGGAGGGGGTAGGGGGAGGGGTAAACCCCTCCTCGAAGGGGAAGAAGGGGGGTTGAGGACAGAGCGGGCCCTCTAAACCACTCACGCCCAAAGGGCTGGTGGGATTCGTCCGAGGGAGCAGCCGAGCAACGCGTTTCTGACTGGATGTTGGCAGGTCGCGCAATGGCCGACGCTTTGCCGGAGAGGTCTGCGGAGCAGCATCG